GGACCGCCTATAAGGCGGGGGTTAACCCAACCGTATGCAACCTCGGCAGCCGGGTTGCTATATGGCAATTCGGCAGGTTGCTTTTTTTTTTTTTAAAGAACCCGCCGAGTTGACCCGCGGGTTGGCCCAAAAAAATAAAAATAGAAAATTATTTTTTTTTTCAAATACCCCTTTTACCCTTGAAATATAGCCGTTTATAGCAGTTGAGGGTCTTTTTCATCATTTTCTTTCCATTTTTTTCTATAAATAGGCCCTAAACCTCATATTTCTCACAACCCAAATCTCTCATTTTCTCTAATCTCTATTGAAATCTCTCAATTATTCTCTTGTTTGTCAATTTGCTCTCATTTTACTTTTTATTAGTTTTTGCAATTTCAATTCATTTTCCAAATTCCAATTCTCCTTCTTATTTTTTTTATTTCTTCTATATCAATTTTTTTTTTACTACAATGGATAGATATTTCCATCCTCAATTCCATGATGAAGGAAACTACTATCCTAGTCCCCCTAAATTTACTAACATAAATGCAATAGTTCAAATATCTCGTTTCATCCTCAGAATCTGATACACCTCATAATATTCCCCCGATTCCCCCCATGCTGCTACAACTCCAGTGTTCTAGAGTCTCCTCGTAATCGTCGTCCTCTTCCAACTTCATCTCAAGCTGAAGGGTTCATCAACTACTGTCGAAACCGACGACAGACACACATCAGATTTTTGGTGCATTTCGATAAGTTTTAAAGACAAAAAATGGAGTTCAAGTGAAGAAAGCAAGATGCAAGTATTGTGGAAATATTATAAAGCTGATTCAGGTAATGTACTAGTACTTTAAAGGCATGCTAATAAACTATTTCTCAACATGGAAATAGAGAAACCAATCAAACTCAAATAACTAATATGGGTACTACTTGGCATTATAATTTTGATGTTATGGAACAATTAGCTTTATATTGTTGCACTGATCAACCTATTAATATGGCTGAGATAATATTTTAAAAATTTATTAAAAATCATTTTTTCCAGATTTAAAAATTTTAAAACTGCAACAAAATGATTTAATAAAATTGTTTGGGAAAATGAATTAGAATTAAAAAATAAAATACATAGTTGTCAGTTAGTGTCTCTAACTGCCGATATTGGAGTGGTAGAGCTAACAAGATTATATTTGTGTGACTAGTCATTATTTTGATAACGAATGTAAATTAATAAATTTATTAGATTTAGATTAATGGATGTGGATCATAGTGGTCAACAAATTTATAATAAAATTTTGAAGTTTTAGAAATTATATGTTATTAATGAGTGATAAGTTTATTTAGATAATGCAAGTGCTATAGTAAGTTATAATTTTTTAAAATTAATTATCCTTCTTATAACTTTGAAGTTTTTTCACCAACGTTGTCACATATTAATTTAATTGTAAAAGTGTATGAAACAATTAGAGATATATTGATAGAATTAGGATTCTTAACTTGGATTACTAGTAGTAATAAAAGATGCTGAATTTCAAAATGCTTGTATAAAATCAAATATGTCCCTAGAACTTTGCATTAGACATGCAGTTAGATGAAATAGTACTTATTTAATGTTGATTATATTTACCTTATGCAAATTTAATTAGTTATTTTGTAGCAAATATAGAGGTCCTCATTGTTTGGTAGAAAATGATTGGCATATAGCTAAAATATTTCATTCTTTTCTTAAAATTTTTTACCAATCCACTTTACAACTTTCTAGTGTGTATTATCCTACTAGTCCATTGGTAATACATACAATTATAAAAATTTCAGAGTTATTTAGAAAAAAACAAAAACAATGAAATTTTAGGGGGACCAATAAAGGCAATGGAAAAAAAAATTTTAATATTGGAAACTCATTCCTTTTCTTTATTGTTTAAGTGCTATATTTGATCCTAAAATTAAAATAGTAGGTTTAGAAAATAGTTTTGACACATTAACTGAAAATTCATAAAACGAAGCATATGCCAATCAACTAGGAGAGGTAAGAGAGTGTCTTGCAGAAGTATATTTCCAATATGAAAACAGATATGGGAACCCGCAAAGAGGCGAAATACCCAAGAAAGTTGCATTAGAAGAAATAAATGAAGACTTCTACTCCTGGAGTGCACTTAATAGGCCGAAGAGGACCCGAACCCGAAGCACAGCCTCCTTTTCAGAAGCGCCAACAACGAATATATTGTCCTCCATGCAGTCACAGAGTAATGAGCTTCAACAATATTTGGGAACCCCCGAAATGTTACCAGCAGATCTACAACAAAGAGCCAACTTTGATGTCTTAGAATATTGGAAAACCAGAAAATGTATTTTTTCGGTATTATCAAGACTTGCCTTGGATGTTTTCGCTGCTCCTGTCTCAACCGTCTCATCCGAACAAACATTTTGTGCAAGTGGAAGAATTTTAAATGAAAGGAGGACTAAACTTTCACCAAAAATAATTGAAGTCCTCACATGTTTTCGAGATTGGGAATGGTCGCGCCATTGAGATCAATATGAGGTTGTCGACGATACTTTAATATAATCATTTCAATTTTGTAATATAAATGATACGGATGAGGGAGGTCCTAGTCAACCCCCAAATTAGTTGTTTTGTAAATTGCAACTTGTAAATTAATTGTCAATTATTGCACTCTTTTTTCTTTACCAAGTTTTTGTCCCATTGGGTTTTTCTTGATGAGGCTTTTAACGAGGCAATAATTGTTGTAATTTCTTATTTTATTTTTTGATAAATGAATAAATCTAATTTTTCTTATATTACAATTTTATTGTATTAAAATTGGATTGATATTTGAAATGTTAACAAAAATTAATTAATTTAATTTAATTATTGATATTTGAAAAGTTAACTAAAAACAATTACACAAAAGAAAAGAAAAGAAAAAATTAAATAAAAAAGAAGGGGGGGGGGGGGGGGGGGGGGTAACCCAGCCCGACTCGCAGCATAACCCGTCGGGTTAGGGTTGGCGGGCCAGGCTGGGCCAGCCAACCCTAACAAGTGGCAGGCTTTGTTGGCGGGCCGAGTTAGGCCCAACCCGCCGCGAGCCCGACCCGCAGCATAACCCGCCGGGTTAGGGTTGGCGGGCCAGGCTGGGCTAGCCAACCCTAACAAGTGGCAAGCTTTGTTGGCGGGCCGAGTTAGGCCCAACCCGCCACGGGCCGGGCCGAGTCAGGTTACTTTTCCAACATTAATCATAATACGTTAGTTCTAATTTAATTCTTCCATCGTCACACATTGGATGGGTATTAATAATAATTATATAAGTACATTACATAGGCATTCCAAAACTCTAACCATTTTAAATAAAAATGTATAAAGATGGAAGTTTGTCTATTTTCAAACCTTGGCTGGAGAGAATCTTATACTGTGAGAAAAAAATTTACCAGTCAATGTCAAATCTGTAAATGAACTCAATATAAATTTTAAGTTTAAATAATTAATCTTCATAGTATTAATTGATATTAATAATTATTAATGTACAATTATTAATTTTATCTTAACGCAACTCTGTACATATATAGAAGTTATATTTACTCTAAAACTTGTATAATTTAACAATTATCTTCTCTTAATCTAATTACTTTATTATGTTAGAATAAATTTGTTTACAACCTATTTCAAAAATATTAAATAAGCATACCCTCGCAACGCACAGGCCTTATGTCTAGTTTATTGTATAGAGTGTTGAATCTGTTGATGGTGGGATTTGTCTTTCATGGTGATTTGAAATCTCAAACTTGGGATGAGTTTATTATCATTTTTTTTTTTTTCTTTTTGTTAACTGTGGTATCAGGATCAATTTACACACATCTCAATTATTGTTTTCTAATAACATAATTTAAAAATATTGTATATTTTTCGAGATAAAAAAAATTGTGATCTAGGTGACTCGCATCTTTTAGTGAATGCTTTATCATCGAATGTGTTAGGATTCTGTTAGAATTATGATAGAATTAGGTTAAGTCATTTTATAATTATGCTATTATCTAAATAAAATAATTAGAATATCTTTAAAATTAAGCAATTAAAGTCTCTCTAGAATTAGAATAATGTGTAAAGTCATACAAAACCTAAAAAAATTAAGGTTTACTAGGCAATAGTCAATAAAAGTTATCTTCTCTTAAACTCTCAATTCTCATTCTTTTTGGAGGTTATGTTTTCTCATATAAAATAGAAATACTATTATATTTATATCAAATGTATGTACATCTAATGGATAATTGGTACATGTTATCGCAGGCACAAACGTTGTTAGCATATCTCAACGGTTTAATGACCCATACTTCTATTATAAATCTTTTTTCTCAATATAAAAGATAAATTTAATTAACATAATTATTTGTTAGGAATAATATTTTCGAATTAATAGAATAACATAAAAATAATTATACTTATATGTTGTGTATTACTAAAATAAAATAAATTTATAACAATTTATATTTCTTTGTGAACTTCAACATCAATACAGTGAAGTATTGTGACTATTTGATGACACATTTATATCTAAATTTTATATTTTGAGTGATGTATAGTGAAAGTTAATTAAATAATTGAATAATTAAAAAAATGACATGATGTAAATCTTAAGCCTATGGGACATTACTAAATATTAAAATATGGATTATATATTAAATTTATTTATATCATATCATATACCAAACTCTTTATTAAAGGAATATATCATACCAAACTAATATTGGAAATAGCATCAAATTACATATTAAATAATTGAAAGCATATTATATATGCTACCCAATTTATCCAAAGAATATGCTTTACTTTTACATCCTCCCATTATCATCTTATTTATTTATCATCTAGTTTCGCTTTATTCTTTACCAATCACATAAACAAGATCACGAACTCACAACACATCCACGATATCCGAACCCACTTGGCCCCGCATCAAAATGTTGTTTACCTCTGATTTGGACAAGTGTCCAAAATCCGTTTTTATGGCGCTTTTTGAGTTTTTGTCACTCCATCCCTTTCGCTTGACAAATTACAAAAGAAGCGCCAACGAATTTGGATCCAATTCTCTCTTCTTCACAAATTCCTTCTATCAAATTTCTCTCTTCCTCCAGAGGCCACCGAACGCGCGAGGTATTTCTCTTTAATTCTCGATTCCTGATTTTGAATTTGTGATTTCTAGTTCAATTGTTGCGTTTCATGTGAAATTCGCATGACTTTTGTTGCTGTTCATTTGTCTGTTTGTTTTTTCTGTATCGGATTTGAAGAGTGGAATCGAATATGTGAAGTATTGAGATTCATGATTTCTAGTTGAATTGTTATGTTTCATGTGAAATTCACGTGAGTTTCGTCACTGTTAATTTTCACTGTCTGGGATTCGGAGAATTGAAATTTCTCTTTAATCCTCAATTCCTGATTCTGAATTTTTTATTTCTAGTTCAATTGTTGTGTCTCATTTGAAATTCGCATGAGTTTTGTTGCTCCTTTTCTTTTTTCTTTTTTCTTTTTTCTTTTTTCTTTTTTCTTTTTTCTTTTTTCTTTTTTCTTTTTTCTTTTTTTTTGTGTTGTTTCGGATTTGAAGACTGAATCGAAGGTGTGAAGTTTTGAAATCTTTGATTTCTAGTTGAATTGCTACGTTTCGAAGATGTCAAGTTTTGAAATTCATGGTTTCTGGTTGAATTTTTATGTTTCATGTAAAATTCACGTTACATCACTGTTAATTTGTTTGTTTGTTCGTTTCTACTGTATCGAACTCGGAGAACGGAATCGAAAATGTGAAGCTTTGATAATCTTAGCATCCGGTGTTCGGTTTTGCTGTTGCTGAAATAATAAATTTGTATTTATTTTGATGTTTGATCTTAAAATGAGTTGATTCTTTGTTTTTTTTTTTTTTAATTGTTATTATTGTAAATGTGTTTATACTTTGGTTGGATGAGATGTGGAAAATTGAATTAGATTTCTCGTATATATTCTGTTATTCATGATGTTTGACTCTAATTATATTGTAAATGTATTTATAGGTTGTTTGGATGAGCTTTTGGTAATACTGAAAGCACTTTTAGTTTTATATAACCAAAAAAGTATTCAGAATTGTCGTTGTATAGTGTTTGGTTGCTATAATTGCTTTATTAAATCTGGTTTTTTTAGTTAAAAAAAAAAAAAAAATTCAGTGTGTCTTTTGGAGATGCTCTTGAAGGTTGTTCAGATGGCAGTTTTAAGCAAGTTTACAGCAACTGTTTTTTCAATACTTTATTTGTATTGAAATACTTCCAAACACACTCTTAGTCTATCTGTTTTTTATCTGTTCTGTTTGGGTGTTGAGTGATCACTGTCTCTTCTTGGGATTGAATTTTTTATCTCATTGTGACAATTTTTATATTGAGCCTTTAAATGAAAAGTATCACTTCTGATAATCAAATATCAATCCACAATCTCCTTGGAAACTTATCCAAATTTTATGGACAACCAAAATTAACAATTTGTCATAAGGCTGGTCTCTTCTTATTGTTATTTTTGCTATTAATTGCTTATTTATTGCTTTGTGGATGCTTCTTGTTATACCTATGATTGATTTGATTACAGGAGTAAAGGGGATAATACAATCATGGATCGACTCAAGAACGCTGCTCGTCTCATGGTAGTTTCAGATCTTGATCACACAATGGTAGGTTTTCTCAATTGGAGTTTCTGGACTATTGTCATTTCAAGTTCATGCTGCTGGGATTTTTATTTGGTTATTTGCTCCCTTTTCAGGTTGACCATCATGATCCTGAGAACTTCTCTCTGCTTAGGTTTAATACGTTATGGGAAGCTATTTATCGTAATGATTCGCTTCTAGTTTTCTCAACTGGAAGGTCACCTACACTTTACAAGCAGTTAAGGAAAGAGAAACCCATGATAACTCCAGATATAACCATAATGTCTGTGGGAACTGAGATAACATATGGTCCTTCAATGGTTCCGGATGATGGCTGGGTTGAAGTTCTTAATCAGAAATGGAACAGGAAGATAGTTACAGAGGAAGCAAGCAAGTTCCCCGAACTTACACTTCAGGTATAGTTGATGGATGACAGTGCTTGCTTTACATTATTATGTGCTTAGTTTCAAGTATAAATTTTATCTGTTGAAAGGTTTGTGAGAGAAGTCATGTGATTATTCAATAAGATAAAAAAAGGAGGAAAAAAAAAGGTTGTTTTGGGCATTTGGAGTCTGTTAATAATTGAAATTTATGGCTTACTGCAGTCAGAAACTGAGCAACGACCACATAAGGTTAGCTTCTACGTTGATAAGAATAAGGCTGAGACAGTAACAAAACAACTTTCAGAGATTTTCAAAAACCGTGGGGTAAGAATAGTTTGTACTTTGAGTGATCTCACTACAACATTTTGACAAAGAGAATGTGTAATTTCTTTTAAGTATTAATTATTTCTATGTCTGTAATTTTCGTTTTGTTTGTGGCCAGTTGGATATTAAAATAATTTACAGTGGAGGTATGGATTTGGATATATTACCCCAAGGTGCTGGCAAAGGACAAGCTCTTGCATACTTGCTTAAGAAGTTTAAGACTGAGGGAAAACTTCCAACTAGCACACTTGTCTGTGGTGATTCCGGAAATGATGCTGAGCTATTCAGCATTCCAGACGTATATGGAGTCATGGTTGGTAGTGTAGATAGTACTTGATTATAATTTGGCCTTATGAGTTTTATCCTATGGGAGTTTGTTTCCACTTCAAAACTTCACTTTTGTCCCTTAATGCAGGTTAACAATGCACAAGAAGAATTGTTGAAGTGGCATGCTGAAAATGCTAAAAATAACCCTAAGATAATCCATGCAACAGAGAGGTGTGCCGCTGGGATCATAGAAGCCATTGGTCATTTCAATCTTGGTCCAAATAAATCTGAAAGGGATGGTGTAGACTTAACGGAATACAAGATGAAAAACCCCTCTCCTGCACATGACCTAGTGAATGTTTACTTGTTTTATGAGAGATGGAGGCGTGCAGAGGTTGACAATTCAGAGATCTATCTTGCATCCTTGAAAGGTTCTTGTGTAAGTTAACATTCTCATTTCTCTTCAGTTTCATGGCTTCAGCATGTTGTTTTATCAGGAGTGGAAATTAATTCTTAGTTTTGTAAAGGAGAAATACTTTCTTGTCTTGCATGTTTTACATATTAAATTCAGCTGATTGTTATACAACACCCAGGATCTTTTATGTCTAAACTCCATAATTAATATTCTGAAGAAAGGTTACCCTCTGCTGCCTGAAGTATGGGAGAAAGTAACTCAAAATTCTTAGATTTTCTTTCAATGAAAGATGATTATTTTTTNAAACCCCTCTCCTGCACATGACCTAGTGAATGTTTACTTGTTTTATGAGAGATGGAGGCGTGCAGAGGTTGACAATTCAGAGATCTATCTTGCATCCTTGAAAGGTTCTTGTGTAAGTTAACATTCTCATTTCTCTTCAGTTTCATGGCTTCAGCATGTTGTTTTATCAGGAGTCTTAGTTTTGTAAAGGAGAAATACTTTCTTGTCTTGCATGTTTTACATATTAAATTCAGCTGATTGTTATACAACACCCAGGATCTTTTATGTCTAAACTCCATAATTAATATTCTGAAGAAAGGTTACCCTCTGCTGCCTGAAGTATGGGAGAAAGTAACTCAAAATTCTTAGATTTTCTTTCAATGAAAGATGATTATTTTTTCTATTATTAAATTAATATTTTTTTGGCATTGAGTATCAATAATGTGCTTTACAATGAATTAGATTCATTAGTGGTGACTTTGTCAAATTTGGCCATCGTCTTCGTACAATACTAGATCTCCCTTTGGTAGATGGACAAAATTGTACAAAAATTCATAACTTCTTCTTCTCTCTCTCTCTCCTCCATCCTTTTAAGTTTTTGTCAACCTACCACAATCAAGCCCACCACTTATTCTCCAAACCAAGGTCCAGGAAAATTTTATCCAAATATTTGAAGTCCCATCAATGTGCCTGATGGATTTTATCATAATAGATTTTAGATTGCATGTCTAATATATAATCGATCTGAGAAGTGAGTTTATTCTAAAATATGTAAGTCACTGTTAAGCTTGCCTCACCTAATTGGCCATATATTGCATCTAAAGGCCTGTCTTTCTGTTTACTAGTCTTCTGAAAACTACTGTGCTTTCTGGATAAAAGAAGTTCGACTCTTTTTCACTTAAATCCTGTTACTAAGTGGATGTGCTATTTTTTCTTTTCTTTTCTCATAAACATGAACAGTTATGCGTTTTTGAAGTTACTGATCTGTTCGATTCAAGGTACTTATCAATTTTCTTCCTTTTTTTTCAGTGTCCATGTTCTGTTTGGGTGCATCCATCTGGTGTTGAGTTATCTCTTAATAGCGCAATAAGTGTACTTAGAAAGTGCTATGGAGACCAACAGGGAAAACAGTTTCGAGTTTGGGTGGATCAAGTAATAACCACACAAGTTGGTCCAGGCACATGGTTTGTGAAGTTTCATAAATGGGAGTCATATGGTAAGTTTTTTTATCTCTTTCAAAATACAAGTGCCTTTGTCTTGGCTTGTTTAGATCTCTTTTCCCTTTTGCTCTCTCATTTACCGAGATCCATATCCACTCTGCATCCATACTAGTGTACTTTATCTATGAAAATTATCCGTAGAATTTACTCTTTTACACTATAATTGAATCTACAGTTTGAGTTTCATTTTGAGAATGCTATAGCCTTAACCATGTCCAGGAATGAAACTGAAAATATGCATGCAGGACCATCACAACATGGTATGAGTTATGAGAATAGTGTGCTAGCGATCCATAATTTTTTTTTTTTCGTTTTTCCATTTTTGGAATCTTATAAATAGAAGCCAAATCCCATCAAACTCTAGTCTCAGCGGAAGTTGAACTCAGGACCTCTTGTACAACCCCAAGAAAACCCAACTATCTAAACTACCAAGTAAATAATTCCTGCATCCCTAAAATTTTCAAAAAAAGGAATAAAGTGTTAAAGATTTTGAAAGTTGAAAGCTCTTTCTGAGCTTGATTGTGGATATAATTTGATTATGACTTTAAGTCAAACTTTTTTTCTCTTTTGGTGCTACACTCACACACACAGAAGTACTGACATCAGTAAGCTTCAAATTTGGTATCTCCTTTAGAACTAAGGCTGTGGATGCAATGAGTTTTAATTGACCAGCGCAGATATCACTCTCAAACCATGTTCATATGAAACTTATGCTAATCCAGTGCTTAGAATTCTATAGAAGCTTTGTTCAGGAAGGAAGCTTTTATTTATGAGTAGAACAATCATATCTGATACAAAGCAGTGTAATACTTGAGACTTTTTGGCAATCTTTCTGGTTTGGTTTGAATTGTTGTTTTGCTAGTCTTGGGCATACCATTCTGAGGTTACATTGCAGTATAAATTGTATTGTAGAGTTTAAATACGATTGTTCAGTGTTTACGTATTAGCTTAAACTTTTGGGTTTATTAAATTTACATGAAAATCAACTTTTGTCGAAGACAAAATTGATCACCTCTTCACTTTATACCTTATTTTCTATTGATGTTTATTATATTGATCATTTTAAGAACATTGAAAGCTAGATTTAGCACTTGGTTCCGTAATATTTTAACATATCCTTAAATCACCAACACAACCAAAGAGAGAAATCAATCGATCTATAATTCCCCCCCTTAAGGTAAAAATTGGTTTACTAATCATAAAAATTTGATGTCATCAGAGTTCTTCACTTTTAATCATATCCTGAATATTTATTTTCTTGTTTATTTTATTTTTTTTATATTTATCATTATACCTACAGGTTTCCTTTATCACTGAATAATTACTGTCTATTGAACTGTTTTAATTGACACTGGTAACAACAGTCGAAAAAAAAATTTAATGTTTCAAGATCCCATGAAACTCTTGATTTAATTCTATCATCTTCCTCTGTAATAAACTTTGCTTGATTCTGTAGGTGAGGCGAGGCGAGGTACCTTGGTCACCGTGGTAATAAGCGCAAAGGTAAAATAACTTTTCAAAGTGTCATTCATTTGAATTCAATAGATTTTGTCAATACAACAAAATCCAACATTACCACAACAAGGGTAGAATCTAAACGAAACCAATTTTGGTCAGTTCATTTTGTTTTTAACAGATGCCCATGACCATGAATATGCTCGAAGTATTCGAATTGTGACAATGAGTGTTGGATTGGTTGTTTTGATTGGTTTAGTTTTCGATGTTCAACGTCAACCGAATTTTAGATGATTGATTTCTGGGTTTCAGGAGGGTGATGCATTTGATGGGTACACTTATATGCACGTGCATCAGACATGGGTGGAAGAAGCAGAAGAAACCGATCTGCCAATTTGGTTCTGAAAGTTGTTGCTCTTACTTATGTTAAATGTTTTGCCTTAGAATAAGGGGGTTGTTTGTTTTTTTAACAAAACAACTTAGTTCATCTTAGTTTTAACTACTAAGATGATTTAGTTTTGCGTAATTTTCAATTTTTTAAATCATTAAAAGAATAATAAATTTATATATACCCCCAAAAATAACATCCAAATGCTCTGCAACAGCCAGTATTCTCTTTCAATTTATTCATGATCAAGTTTAGACAATATTTCAATTAGAAAATAATAAATTAATGTTTATTTTAAGTACGAGAAAACATATATATATATGACTTATTTATTCACAGTAGAAATTATAAGTTCAGGTTTTTTTTTTTTTTTTTTTATATTTACATAATTCAATTACTTATGATCATCAAGAATATAAATTGTAATTGTACCCAATTTAATAAAAAGATGAAAGGCTGTTCTAAACAACTGAGTTAAATAGCAAAAGTGTGAGAGATAATCTTATGCTAGAAGAAGTAACTATTATTCCATTTCTTTCTCTGAAATCAACTACTTGAAATATATATTCCCATCTGACTTGAATCACAATTCACAAATGAGTTTTATATTTTTCGTATTATTTGAATCTGATTCAATAAAGGAGAAGAAAAAATTTGAAAAGCATTACTTACATTTTTCCAAAATGAAAGTAACAGAAATATATCACAATAAATTTTCTTACTCACACAAAATGAAAGGGAAAAATATATAGGGTGAGGGCCCAACCGGGTTCGAACCGGTGACCTCTTGATCTGCAGTCAAATGCTCTACCACTGAGCTATGGACCCATGTTGTCTTCGTTGCTGAAGATTTATTAAATTAATAGCGTGCAGTGAATTCTAAAAAGTTCAGAAGGATTTTAGATACTTTATTAAAAGATAAATGATTGTCTCAAACGGGTAAATGATAATTTCAAAGGAAGTAAATGATAATCTAGGGAAGTATAATAATACTTTTGTAAAACCTTATGGATGTTTAAAACTCCTTAACAGTGTAGAATAAAAACCCTATTCTTGATGAGGAAGAATAAATCAAATAAAAGCATGCGCCATGGATAAGTATTGATGGTAGTTCTTTTCTAGTCCCCAAGCTTGGTTCTTAGTTTGAATGAAGGCATTTAGTGTTTGGTCTAACAAGAATTCAAAATAAATAAATAATTGTCAAAATTTTACTAACATAAGGACAATACAACAAACTCATCTTACAACTAACTTTTTTCATATCATATCAATAATAATATCACTCTTTTTTTCTAGGTAATTGAGGTATCCAGACCCATATTGGAGTCTGTCTAATCCTCAGAGTCACAGAGCACCTTACAAATCTAATAGACTAAGGTAATTACACAAATTATGTGATAAATACATTTCTTGCGACTCGAACACAAGACCACTGAATATAACTAACTTCAATAGTTCAAGAGTTTGTTATCCGACCACAAGGGGAGAGGTTATTAATATACGCTTTAATACTAAGAGATAGTATATAATACATTAAACATATCACATCTAAAATAATTTAACAATAGATGAATAGAGTTTATAATATCATTTGATTCAATTTATAACATCGTTTGATTGGTGTCTAATTTTAGGATTCGGGTATCACATATCACTCTCTATAGTCTATACCATAGTATATCACAAGCTTTCCATGCTCCATAGTAGTATTTGGTTGGTCTATTACGAGTTTACTTCCTTTGGAAGAAAGGGACTGCTATCCAATAACCAAACAGATGCACTGAACAAAATCGACCCACATGGCACTTCTCTAAGTCTCCCACGTGTCCACTGAAACTCGCCCCCACATCTTACACGTGAACATCAAATAAACAATTAAAATAAAAAAACCTCAAACCCAAATTCCAAACCGACGACCTTATCCACCGTTCACTTTCCAAACTTTTCCCCAACTTTAAATCACTCCCCTCCCTTCCCATCTCAAATCTCAAATGCAAACCTTAGATCTTCATTTTGAACCCCTCTCTCTCTCTCTCTGAAAATCAAAATGGGTCTAAGGATTGTGTACGGAGTGATGTTTCTTTCATTCTCTTGTGCTTGCTTCAAGCTTCTCCATCTCTTTCTTCATCCAGTCTTCTATCTCAGCTCAACTTAGATCTGACTTTCTCAATTGGGTATTCTTATTTCATACTGTTTCACTCTTCAATCTCAATGTAATTCAAAATATATCATGTAATTTTTTTTCAAAATGTTGTAATTTTGTTACCCACAGATTTGACTGTTTTTGGTGTGATGTATTATGAGAGATTAAAGTTGTAATTTTCTTGCTAATATATTTGATCAAGAGTTTTCTTTTTTATTTCTTATATAATTTGATCATTTATTTATTATAATTGGTATGGTTTTATAATCTTAACATGGAAAATTAGTATAAAATTTTATTGATCTCATATTTGTTGCTCCTTTTTATTGAAATATGGGAGGTTAAAGATGCAATTTTGTTGCTAATATACTTGAACTGATTTAAATTGAATTCTGTTAATATAATTTATTATTAGTAAATAATTTTAAAAATATTAATATTAAATTAATCAAGTAAGACAAAAATGGACACGTGTTAGTGTAAAAACAAAACTATGTGCCGGCTGACGGTAATTGAAACAGCTTCTAGAAGAAGTTGAGGTTGCTATTTTTTTTTTTTTTTAAATAAAAATTCAAACTTTATCTGATAATTTCATTTCCTTAATAATTGAAAAAGCTCCATTTAATTTGCTTTAATTCTCATCATATTTAATTTATTACTCTATAATTTAATCGGAAAATACTTAAATCAAATATATATTTTTAATAAATTCTGTTTGACACTTGTTTTATCCAATCTAAACAAATAAAAAGGTAATTAAATAGTTAATTAAAATTAAATATAAAATATTGAGCCCTAATTTAAACTCTAAAAACCTAAAATAAGTATAAATAAATAAAAATTTGAGCTTGGCCTCAAACTCAGAATGGTCAATGTCAATTTTGCCATGGGGGAATGGATCTCTTAATTAGAATCTTTAATTCCCTATAAATATTAAATCTCTTCAAATAATTCATCCCAAATAATCAAAATTCTTCAAAAAAGAAATTTATTTCTTTTTCTTTTTCTGTTCATCAAGAAATGATTATTTTCTCTGCATCCAAATCCGAATCCAATTCAATCGTTTCTCCATTTGGATTCTTCTATGTTTCGTTTTATAAATTCATCGAATTTTTCGAATAAATTTTTTATATTTTTTCTTAATTAATCATTAATTAAGAGAGAATATATAATTAGTAGTTACTATTAATTGTAAATAATTAAGAATAAAATATGCAGACCTATGTCGGATTAGGGTTCATGGCCGTCTTCGCAATCTCCGGCAGCATCGTTCTTCTCGCCAATCAAGTCCATAAACGTCTCCTCTCCGACTTCATGAAGAAGATTGAATTCGAAATCTCTGGTACGTTCCTTCATCATTTTACATAAAAACAATTTTACGTAATGTAAACATTGGTACGACGTCGCATTACGTTCTCTGTTTCAGACAGAATATGAGAAAAACACAAACCTTTACGACGTCGTCTGCTGTTTCTGAACTCTCATTACGTTTATGTTTCAAACTTGATCTGAGAAATTCAAATTTTAGGACGTCGTCTCTGTTTCTGAACTTTTCCGTTCTCTGTTTCAAACAGGATCTGAGAAATTCAACTTTCACCACGTCGTTTTAGTCCCTGAACTCATTATTTTCTCTGTTCGAAACAGGATTTGAGAAATTCAACAGCAAGAAGAAGGTTCGATTTGCGGAAGATGTAATGGAGCCATCGTCGAACAACAAAGAGTATAGAAAGAAAAGCTTGAAGAATCATCATCATCATCATGGGAACAGAATGCCGTTGAATAGGCAGATTTTGTATAAAGGAATTATTCAATACAGAACCCTTCGAGCCCAACAGTACTGCATCTAATCTCCAAAAAAAATCCAGTTTTTTTTTTTTTTTTTTTTTTTTGAAGAGACAGTTATATTATATCAAAAGTATAATTAATATATAGATAAATATAATCTTAAATTATTTTGATGATTTGATCAGGTTCTTTGTTGTTTAGTTTGTTTAAATTTTAGAATCTTTATTTTAGAAGAATTTCTCAGTTAGGAATGAAATTTTTAACAACCTTAGTGTTCGTATAAAAAACTTTAGTCATATGGATGAATTATCCAAATGTTTTGTGTTCTGAATCTCATAAATTGATTACCCAAAGGCTTTGTGTTCTGAGTCTCATAATTGATTACCTATTACATTTATGACTTACCTAATCTATTAGATTTGTAAAGTGTTCAATAGACTCTAAAATTAATCGAAATGCACCCAAACGATCTAGACATCTTGGTTAAAAAAAAAAAAAAGGTGTTAAAACATGATAGTAGGGGGTGTTTGTTTGAGCTTAGAAATTTAACAGGAGTTACGTGTTTGGTTAAAGTACTTATAAGTGACTGATAAGTAGTTAACGTGTTTGATAAAATGGGGTTTATAACTTATAAGTATATTTTATTATTAAAATATCTAAAAATGATACTATAGTAGAAATATAAAAATAAGGGTATATTATGGAATTTTAAAATTAAATAAGAATAGTGTGGTAATATATTTGGTCAAACTAACTTATAAGCAGAGTGTTTATAAGCCAAAAAAAAAAAAAGTTGTGTACTTTTTTTTTTTCTTATAAACCTCAAAAAGTTATAAACAAACAGGTCAGTTTAATTTTAAAGTTTATAAACTCAGACAAACACCTCTTTAAGGTTTATTTGATAAGACTTATTTGAATAAAGCTTATAGAAGAAAAGTTTATAGGAATAAATTTTATGAAAAAGTTGTTAGTTGTTTGGTTAGTAAAATATAAAATATTTTTTTGGTATTAATTTAGTAAAATGACTTTAATAAACAAGAATAAACCAAGCCAAATTTATAAGATTAAGGATAATTTTGGAATTTCAACATTGTAAATAAGTTAAAAAAGGGCTTAGGGGAAAAGCTTAAATTTTGAGCTTTTCTTATTGTTGATGCTTGATTTTGACACCAACTATTGGCACGTGGGAAATGCTGAGCAAGCTTAGAAGTCACACGTGATTATGGAAGTGTTCAGTTGAATAAAGAGAAAAAAACAACGTTTAAAGTGGTTCGGATGCTCACTAGGCGAATCATACGTCCACTGATATTATATTACTGAGTAAGATCAGGTCGCGATCAGCGAGCTGAGTTTTAGCCTTGAGAATACAAGAGAGAGAGAGTAAGCTTTTCTAGAGAGAAATTAGTCAATCCCACAAATGAAAGAGAAGTCCCACATTTATAGTGGGATGAACCAAGGTAATGATTACTAAATCTGCGAGTGGGGTAGATGTCGTGCAAATCCATCTTTGCATCCCATTGCTCACCTGCTGCGTGATTTCCTCGACTTATGCAGGGATTGGACACATGGATCACTTCCAACCATTCGCTAACCTGACGTACACCTACCACACTGGTAGGAGCATGCTGCTCATGTCATCACGTGATGTGGCCGCATCTGAGCAGTTGTAAAATTGTCTTAAGCTCTGGCCACCTTGCTAACAAGGCTTATGCGTCAACCCTACTTTTCCAGGCATAACACTCATAAACCATAAAATAGTTTAATTCAAATCTTATAGGCATCTTCGAAATGCAATAAAATGAGATAAAAAAATTTCAATAATGTTTATAGATTTAAATAAACCTTTTTCTTATCAAAAGACTTAGTGAATATAAAACTTAAGTGTTTTAATTATATCTTAGCTTTTTTGGAAAGAGTTAATCAAATTTCCTCATTAGGTATTACTAATTGACAATTCCTTCTCTCAAAGTAAATGTTGTTACTCGTCTAAGTAGAAACTACTAGCTTTGTGTTCGAACGGCAAAACTTCAGTCATCCGTGTGGGTTACCAAGAGGTCTTGTGTTCGAATCCCACAAACTAATCACTTATCACATTTATGATTTACCTAACACATCGATCTCGGAGATTAATTGAGATATACGCACATTTGTGACTTACATATCTCATTGACCTTACATATCTCATTGACCCTAAGTATTAAACTATTAATTGAGGTGCACGTAAGCAAATACTGAATAAATATTAAGAATTTAAATAGCATTAATATGTATCCTTTAAGAATTTAAGTAGCATTTCCTTAGAATAATTCCTTAGTTTTATTAATGAGTCAAAAACAAGGGGTGGAATGAAAACAGTCCACAATGAAGAAAATAATCAAGTCAACTTTGACAAAAATTGACATAAATAGAATTATTATAAACAGTCAATTGGTTTCTAAATTGAACCAGGGGACCAAAATACTTGGCATTTTTCATGCGTAAGAAAATGTAAAAAATCCAATTATTCATCAAATAGGTTTGATTAATTTATTGTTCAAGCAATAAATTCAGCCCACCAATTAGTGGTGTCCCATCAATTTTGAGAAATTGGATTTGGGTATGGGTCAAAATGGTCCAAACAAAGTCTTAAAGTGTTAGTCTCCAAATGTAATGGCTCATTTGCCGCCATAGATTTGGTTGGTTCAATTTCGTTTTCTCTTTTCTATCCGATCCCATGAATCTTGTGCAATTTTGGCACTCAAGTTGAGATTTTTGTGGTAGGAATTGTATTTTGATATTGTATAATAGGCCTTGTTGGCCCAATAAAAACGGCAAAACACCATCAATGATTTGCAATTGCTTGGCTTGAGAAGACTCCTAGAGAGAACGTATAGATGAACGCCGTGTGTAACACAATCTCACATCCAATTTGTTTCGGTTAAAAAATCTTCGTGACACTAAATAAAATATCAATTCATGTTTAAGAAAACAACCTAAACATAAATGTCCACTATTAAGTATGAAAACAACTTGTCTCATGAATAATGTGATCTAACTTTTAAGGTTCATTGATTTGTGATTCACATATATTTGAGGCTTTCACATGTCCATAAAAAAGCACTAAGGTAGTTATGAAAATAAATGTTTACTCTCTTAATTGGTTTTCTAAGTTTTTACCTTAGAACCACATACCACATTTGTAACTTATCTTAGAATATTAGGTGTAGAGTGTTTAATGGCTCTCAAGGATTAATCGAGGTGTATACAAGTTGATCCGGACAATCTGATCATAAAAAATAAATAAATGTGACTCTTTATAATATCCATGATTTCATTTTATCAAATTATTTTTAAAACAAAAAAAAGCCCCAATCTTCATATTTTAGAATTTTATCGTATTTTCATATTTCGAAATAATAACATTATATTCGATGAGATTTAGGTTAAGTGGGTTACACCTAGACTAGAAGTCACCCAATATATTTTAATGGAAGATTCTCAGTTGGCTAATTTTCACACACGTCTATCGAAACACTAGGTATATTTGTCAATTTCGAAAATCTTTAGTTTTAATATTGTAGTTACTCTTATATTTAATGATTGTTTTAGTTCAGAGTTTATACTTTATACTATGACCGAATATGACCATGTCAAAACAAGGGTTCGATGAAAGAAAATAAATTTGGCAAGTGAAAAAAGATTTTAATTGGTGCACAAAAGTCCATTCAAAATTGTCCAAAATTGAGGGCCCCAATGTGTTCTTCTAGCTCTAGATGGTGACAAAAATAAATATAGTAGATACAAATTTATAAAGCGTCATATTTGCACTAAAGTTTAACAACGTTTTCAAACCATATTGTTCTTTCTTATATGAGATTATTAATTCTTTAAGGTAATTATTTAAACAATTTAATGCTTATAAATCCAAATCGAAATAATACATGTAAATAGTCAATCATTCACAATCACCGACGAAGAATTTTCGAAAAAGTTAGGGATTTGTAATCTTTTTTAGAAATCAAATACGTTATTTAAGATATATGAGACTATTATCTTAAATTTAATTATTTAAACAATTTAGATAAGATATGAAAAGGTTACATGAAAAAGTTAAAAAAATACTATACACTAAGACCCGTATAAAAAATCTCTAAAACGTGTCTAAATCCTAAATATTGTACTTAATAAATTTTGAATCAATAACATGTAAAAAGACGATGGATTAATAATTATTTGAATTACTTTTGAAATGGGTGCCTTTGTATAATGTGTTTCATATTCTATATTTTAATTAATTTAGCAATACGGTTTAGTTAATTACTTTCGATCAAAAGAGACAACCCTAAAGTCAAATTTCTTTGATTTTCTCTATAACTAATTAGCCGCTGCGTTTCGGTATAGATAAATTGTTTTCCTGCAACATATCGTTTCAAATGCTTAAAACAAATAAAATAAATTGAATAAATTTTGTATTGCTTTTTTTATCATTTTTATTATTTTATTTTAATTTAAATTCTATATTTTTTCTTAAAATGTTTCCAAAGTAAAGATATTTTTAATTAGAAGATAAACTCAATTTGCTTACGTTATCTCATAGTGCAATAATGGTAGTCAATCAAATAATTAATGAGCTTACTTAATATAACAAGACGTGACGCAATTGTTTGATTTTGTAATAATTTAATCATTTTTTTTTTTTCGGAGGCAAGTGGCCCTTAAATAATAAATTGAGACATTTATTTATTAGAGAATTTTGTGAAATTAACAAAATAAGTTTAATTAATGACTGTAATTATGTCAACAAAGAGTCACTAAGACACTAACGGCAGAGAAACTGATGTTATTTCAGAAACTTCAAGAAGATTGTACTGAGGTGATGGTGATGATGACGGTAAGTGATGCTGGTCAAAATTCACCTGATGGTGGATCTTAAAAAAGGTGGGACCAATTCTACCAAATATCCAAAATCAGATGGGACATAACATCTTTACATTTTACCCCCTATTCAAACATTTTGGAGCTCTTTTCACTTCATTAAAAAAAAAAAAAAAAAACAAAAGAAGCTGATTATGGAGTAATTTCTCTACTATTTACGCCCGCCGCATTTTAATCAGAACCACTGTTTATCAGCCCTCTAATTAATGTCATCTCATCACCATCGGTCCATCACAATCATATATCAATATCTTCTTCTCTTTGGGCTCAAAACACTCAAAAGCGCACAGGTCTTGACACGTGTTGAAAGTATAAGATTATTGGCATCTCTAGCTTAGCGCAATACTGTGCGTCACACGAGATTCGTACTTGCGGATCAGTTCAAGTTAATTTGACGTGCTACGAGAGCGCGTAAATCGACATTTTAATCAAATGAGGTTGAAAATTACACGTCTGATAGGCCCCAAATTCCCATTCATGTTTCTATCTGGATTCTGAAGAGCAATTTGGTTCGATTCTCCCGTGTATCTAACGCTCGTTGAGTACGCGTCTCGAATTTATCCCTAGTGAATATTAATTTCAACTACTATAATGTAAATAATAGAAAAAAATGGCATGTTTGGCTTATTATTTCTGCCAACATTCTCAATCATATTCTTCAAATAATGTTTAGCATATTATTTCAGAAATATTTCTCTATTTTTTTAATTACTTTTAGACCCTATAAGGTTATTAATTTTATTTAATATCCCCTTAAAAAAAGTTTAAAAATTAGCAAAAACACCCCCGTGACCCATACTAGCCAGAATCTGTACAACGGTCTACTTGCCGACCAGAAATGACTGAAAGTTCACCGATCTGACCTTTTCCGACCAGATCTGGCCGTAACGACGGCCAAAGAAATGGCCGTCGTTTTGGTCTTTTTCGGCCGTCGTAGCCACAACAGGCCGTGGATCTGGCCTTTTTCGGATCTGGCCGGAAAAGACCATAACGACGCGTTACGACATAGATCCGACCGGTCTATGTCGTAACGCGATTTTCCGGCCAGATTCCGGCGGTGGTGGCCGGAATCTAGCACTGCAGGTGGTGGAGGTGTTTTTGTCATTTTATACATTTGGGTGTTTAATTAAATTAGCAAACCTATGGGCTTTTTCATAAATTTTTAAATTTTACCTTGTAATACTCCCCTATCCATCTACCCAATATTATTCCCAAAATCCTATCCAAAATAATAAACCAAACGCACCCATTATAATTTTTTTAAAAGATTTAATTATTTACCAAACACATAAAAAAAATGAAATCAATTTATTGAAAAATTAATGGGAATTTTGATTTTCATATAGTATTTCATTACCTAGTCATTTAGTAACAAAATTTTCAATTTACATAGTATTTTTTTAATGGAAATTCACTTATTGAATTTTAATAAGTTTAAGTCTACTATGTAATTAGCAATCTTATTTAATTTTGATCAATTAATTAAAAAATTATAATTATCTTCTAAGTGATAAGTATACGTAGTTTATAACTATTATAGGTGACCCAGTAATTTAATAAGGGTTTTTGGATATTTTATTCAAGAGATCTTTAGTTCATGTCTCTCTTCGGTTACTAATAGAGATAGTTACTGGAGTTATTCCTCGACCAATAATTCTAAAATCCCAGAAGATAGTTGAGATATACGTAAGTTGACCCGAACACCGCATATCATTCAAAAATATATATAATTTATTGATTAGTTGTATAAGAAAAATATTATATGAAATCTAGCAATTGTGAAGGCACGTCTTCATCAAAACTACATAACTGGAGCCAACTTCTGGGAAGACGTGTGTGGGGAACTGTTTTGAAAACATGTTTTTTGTTTTTTAAAATTAAAATTACTTTGATATTAAAAATATGTTGCCAAAGATATTCTCAATCTTTTGAAAATATTAAACGTAATTTTCATTTGGAAAATGATAGTAGGTGTACTAATTTGACTATAGATAAATTAAATTCTCGTTTATAAGATATATTTTTTTATTTTCATGTAAAAATAAATTAATTAATTGAGATTTGATTCGTTAATCTGCAGGCTAAATGATTTTAAATTTTAAATTATTTTAATTTACTTAAAATTATGGAAAAAAAATTAAAATTAAAAACGTGTAGGCATGTGATTTGGTGCTTAAACTTTTTTAGATTTTTGTTACAGTAGTCAATAGTGGCCGGTCATGAATTTTGATTTAATTTAAAGGATGAAAATAACAATTAAATTTTATAATTATTCCATGTTCATATTACAAATTTCACTTTCCATTTCATAATTCACATTACTGTAAGTTTTATTTGTAAGTCAAATTTAACCCCCTCATTCAATAATTAAAAAATGATTATTTATAATCTCAGACCCCTTAAATTTACCTTACATAAGATAAAAAAAAAAATGTAATTTTGTCTTGTAAATATCAACTTGAACTATTTAATTGATTTTGAATGAATATATATTTTTTTTTCTTATAATTATGATGTTCATACTTGAGAGTATTTACATATATAAGTTTACTCAATGTAAAAGTATAGTAGCATCTTTTTTTTTTTGTTTTTTATGATCAAGGATATCTAAATCAGTTTGCATGTATCTCAATTAATCATTTGAGATTATTAAGGACGATGGGTACTTGAATTTAAAAGACTATTAAGTGTCGGTTAACGATAAAAGAGATATATGTAGTTTTGAATGTGAAATTTTTTTTTACTAAATTTATCTTGTACTTGAATGAACATGAACTGTATAATTGACTTTGAGCAAATTGATCTAAATTTTCTTATAACTAAACTACAATAATATTTTATAACTCAAATCCAATGATATATATAACAAAATATCATCGAAAATGCAAATTCCTCCTATTTGAAGGTAATAATAACCAAAAAAAAAAAAAAGAGAGATTTGTGTAATATTTTATATTTAATTAAGTCTCCAACTAAACGAGAAATAAATCAATAAAAACTTTTATCAGACTTTTTCTCACGTATCCGTCCTTGGCTTCAAGCTCTAGCCTTCCCTTCCATTTATTAAATACTCTAAAACCTAAAACCACCCCTAAGAAAACCACCTCTCCAACTTCCAAACCCTTACAAAAATCCCCCCGTCAAGGTTCCCAAATCCTTTCAAACCACCCCCGTCCCCAAGACTCAATCTTCGATCACTTTCATCGTCCATTTCCCGAGACACAGAAGACTCTTAACCGTTCAAACACTTTCAGTTTCTTGTTTTCTGATGCCACGAAACTCGAGAAATCATTATTCCATTCAAGATCGTCGTCAAGTAATCGAATTTCTAATATTTTTATTGTAATTTTTCGTCCATGTCCCGTCAAGTATTGCTCCGCTCGCCGTCCGTTAACCGGAGACAACTGCTGCTACATAAGTCGAAGACGGAGGCGGCCGCGGCCACTACAAGAAGCAGTAGTTTTGCGGAGGTGGCGGGCGGGACGGCGGGGAAGTGCGCGGCGGTGTGTTGTTGTTGCCCATGTGGGTTGGTGAATTTGCTCGTGTTGGCTATTTACAAAGTCCCCGCCGGGCTGTGTAAAAAAGCGCTTAAAGAGAAGCAGAAAAAACGGCTTATTAAAAAAGGACTTCTGCCGCCTCGTAAAAAAAACAAATGTAAATGCGGCAGTGAGGATATTGAACTTCAAGTTCACCCGGTTCAGAATTTTTCGGAAGTAATAAAATCGGAGGAGGCTGAGAAAGAAGTGATGAAATTGGAGAAGGAGATGTGGGAAAGATTTTACAGTACGGGATTCTGGAGAAGTACTTCTCAGCGAGAAGCACTTGCAGAAAAATGAAATAACTGTAAAACAAAACACCTTTTTCTGGTAAATATTTTAACCAGATTCTTCAATTTCTTGTGCATCAATCTCTTTGTCATTTTGAAATGGTCAAATTTGATGGTGGCATTGTTGGTTTTGCTAGCTGTTTGTGTTGAGTGGTGTTTGGTCAAATTAGAGTTAGAATTAATTAATCTAAAATTTGGGCAATTGGGTTTGTTTAAGCATAGATTAACCACCTTTTTTTTTTTTTTTTTTTTTGGCTTTTTTCAATGTCAAAATTGGGAATTTTGATGGTCAATTTGGTTTGGGCATTCCAGCGATGTATGATACCCTAATGAACAACATTGGGACCATTGTGTTCAGGTTTAGCTATTAGAACTGATTTGTACTGGAACTTGTATTGGACCCATGTTAGACATACTTAATACGCCTCGATTTCTCGCTCACCCGCTCACATATGCATGTTATCAATCGTTTTCTTCTTATCATCGGGTGTCCGGATCAATTTGCGACGGTTTGAGCTAAGCTCCTAGAGTTTGAAACTGTTGATCAGGTTAAAACCCTAATGACCATCTCTATTAGTGTGTGGGAGACTCGCATTAGGAAGCTTATGAACCTCTTTTTGCTATTTTTCCATTGGGACATATTTATAATTGAAATAGGTGAAAATGATAATTTAGTTTTACTCGTAGCAAAGTATTATCACAAAACTAAAGAGGGGTTAGATTTTGTAGCCAAAAAGCAATAATGCATAACAAGCTGTTGCCAAAGTTTAAGTGTAAACAACTTGATGATGATGATGTTGCAGGAAACATGTTGCACACAGGTCTCTATTAAACCAAACTGCATTTATAAAAGTAGGGTAATGTATAGTCTGATCAGAGTTAAAATAAAAGCTTTGGAAGTATCATTGAGAGAGTTCAGTACTTGTGAACAAAATTAACTTCACTTTGCATTCTTTATTGAAGAGAAAACTGAAGGAGTCTGTTCTCAGTCAAAAAGGGTTCCTTTCCCTTCAGGATTTTAATCCTTCACAGTGGCCATTAACACAATTTTGCTTTTGATTTTTATCAATGGAATCATCACTCTTTCTGTACTTCAACTATAAGAAATAACATTACTTCATATCCAAAAAAATCTACCACTGATAATATATACATATAGAGAACAACATCATATTATCATTACGCTTTGAACTCGTCTCTAATAAGTTAAAAGAACATTATGTTTTTATCGTGCATTGAATACCCAGGTTTCCAACCAATAAGAGAACACACTTAATCTTAAAGGATTAGTCTGACGGTCAAGAAAGTTTGTTTTTTTCTTTGAGTTTTTGGGTTCAAGCCTTATGATCACTTACCACAAGAATATTGTGGTTTATCTGGTTCTTTGGACGGGTATCAAATACACATATACCGTATCATGATCTCACATCAGATACACATGTATGCAATGCAACTAATAAAATGAAGTGGCAAACACTCATATTAATAGATGGACGTGCATCGGATGCACAATAGACTTTCTTTTGAGGGAGAGTACTGTTCAGCCATTCACAAGTCACAGTCTAGAGGTCAGTAGCCCCAGTGGGGAAACGAGAAGAGACCTGAAATTTTGTGAAGTGGAAACGAGCTGGGGCGTGTAAACTGTCCTTATAACTTAGCTCGTGGGGGTGGGGACCCCGACCTCTCTTTTAACCTGTCCTAAACAATGTCTCTGCCATCTGCCATCCATCCACTTCAAGCCTTTCTTCTTCTTCCACAATATAAAACTACAAAAACCCATTTGAGAATTTTGCCCCACCTTCAATAAATCTCATTTGTCCTTTCTCAAGCCCAACGGCACCTGCCCCTCATTACTAATTAACTCTTGGGTCAATCATTAAATTCCGAAAAAGTACTTATAACTTTAAATAAAACTCTTTCAGCTACTAGATAAGCTGACTAAATGTATTCAAATCTCCTTATGTGAAAAATTATTATTATACAAAATTTAAGTCAAATTTCTCGTTACTAGAAACTACAAAAGTTTATTAAATTAGATTATATAAGATTAAAGATGGGTCAAAAAGTTAATATATAGTTGATCCATTCGCATTATATAACTAATCAAAAAGTAATCTTATGATTATTTGATTAATTAATTTAGAAGAATCCAAAGCCGAAAGTGTTTGAATTTGATTTAAAAAAAAAAAGTGTTCTAGTCCAAATGTCCTTACTCTCTTGCACTTTAATAACATAATTAAAAATGTGACAATCCACTAAAAAATCTTACTAATTAAATAAACAATTTTTTTTAATTTAAAAAAAAAATCTGAAAATAAAATATTGTTAAGAAAAAGTTGGTGTTTGACAAAAATAAGCATATGCTTAAATGACCAAAAAAGGTTTAGTGTTAAGTAAAATGTTAATTGGTTCACTTATCAATTTGTCGAGTGGGTTATGGAATCTAACTATATATCAACTTAGAATTTTCCTAAGATGCCCTACCCATGTTATTGACACCATTAAATGAATTTTATTTTCTTTTATAATTGGGATGTCCGAGCCAACTTGCACATATTTTAATTAATCATCGGGATCTATTGAATACCTTTCAATACCTTTCAACTAGATAATTTGTACAGTTATGTAGTTTTAATTAATCACTGAAGCTTATTGAACACTCTATAAATTCAATAAGTCAAGTTACAAGTTACAACTATTATAAGTAATCACTTTGTAGGATTTGAATTCAAAATCTTTGGGTAATTTATTCAGATGACTAAAGTCTTATCATCTGACTATAAATCAAGTGGTTCATAAAATGAATATTAGAATTTATAAATAAAATATAAGATTTGTATAAACTCATAGCACAACAAAAGTATTTAGTGCAAATGTTTGTATTTTCGTTGACAGTAAAAAAAGGCAAAATTTTTTATCTTTTAGCAATAAACAAAAGGGGGTTAATTTCTCCGGCACCTTTTCAGAAAATATTAAATAATTTCAGAAAATATTAAATAATTTCATATCATGGGGTTTTGATACTTTTATACGAGAGTTTCTAATAATCTCAAGGAGTTATCATTAATTTTTAAGATGTTGAGATAGTTGAGACTTGTCAATTTTAGGGAAATATATAAATTTAATTTTTAGAAAAATAATCAAAATTTTATCTTTTAATATTAATCAACACCAACTAACAAAGGTAATATTTTATAATATAAATATTTTCCACGACAAAGACAAATTGTGCATGCCTATATATCTATATTAAAAAACAAAAAAAGACCGAACGAACATGTTCTCATCCGAAAAAATTTGAAAATGACAATTATCCACCAACTATTAATAAGAATAAAAGTATAAGATATCACAATCATCTATTAAAGCTATATAATTAAGTAGCTTGGTTGGCAGTTCAATTTTTCCAAGTACATAACTAATTATTCTAATTTTCAATATTCCTTGGAAAAATAAGAAAAGCAATTTACTGCTTTTTTTTTTTTGGTATTACCAACTACCAAGTATTAGTGTGAACGTGGCCTCTTATTGTTTGGACGCGTGTAATCAAATAGAAAATTGATCCATCTATTAAAACTAGACATAGCACTCGCGCTGTTGTACGGGTATATTTATTTAATTTTTTGAAATAGGTTATAAATAAATTTATTATAATAAAATAAATTAATTAGATTAAGACATAATAATTATTAAATTATACAAATTTTAAAGTAAATATAAGTTGTATATATATAAAGTTATGTTAAGATAAAATTAATAATTGTATTTGTATAATTATTAATATCAATTATAGGTAGATGTCATTAAATTATTCATCTAACTTGAGAAGATCACCTAAATATTATATGGTTTAATTATATTTTTAAGATCATTATCTTGTACAATTGATATTATTTTTACAAACATGTCTTTGATATTTGATGTCAGTATTTTGTAGTAAATCGTGTATGATATTTAATATTACCTTAATATTATCAAGATCAACTATTTAAACTTAAAATTTATACTGACCTTCCACAATTTCTGTAACTTATATTCATTTTCAAGTTGCGTTGTGCGGATATATTTATTATATTTTTTTTACATTATTATTGGTTTTTTTGTGTTTTAAATATATATTTTCTATATTGAAGTTCATTTTATATTGAATTGATAATTAAAAAATAAATAAATAAAATATCCACAAATTGATCTCAAAGTCTATATCATCATGGTTCTTCTCAACTATGTCACCATTTGACATATGCAACTAAAGTTTAAAACTTTGTCAAGAAAAGCAAAAAAATTTGTTGGATAACTTACCGGATATTATTGATAAGTCTATAAATCAATCAGAGAAAGAGAAACCTTGTCGAAAAATGTGAACTTTTAAGCAAGAGACTTGTAGAACGAAAGGAAAAAATTGATTTTGATTGTTGAGAAGAGAAAATAGATTATTTTTATTATTATTATCTTAGAAATAAAAAAAAAATTAAGAATTTTGAGAAGAAAACTCACATAAAAAGCAACAACAACTCAAATAGTATAATTTGAAGACAACTTAATTGAAGTATTGAAGAAGCCATAAAGATAAAGGTCTTGTGACACAAATCCATTTGCTGCAATTAGAATTGATCACCACCTATAGCAAAAAAAACATTTGATAATAGCATCCTAAAGAAAGACGATAATTGTAAAACCCATTAATCAAACAACAAAATCAATCCAAAAATCAACAAAAAGAGAGAGGACAAATACAATTAAAACTACATGTCAATATTTATTTTCCTTTGTCATAACTAAAATTTAATTTATTTTATGTGTGTGATGATAAAATGAATGGTTCGACAGCAGTTCTATAATTATCCAAATTCATCGTATAATATATCAAATAAAATTCATATCTTTCTAGTTTCCAAAGATTCAAACCACTCATCAATTGGATTTTTATTGAGCAAGTTATGACTAATTTACTTCTGACTATTTAGTAGGAATTGAGAAATAGGGGAAACCAAAATGTATGTGATAATAAAAGGAATGGTTTTAAAGTAGGGCTACATTTATCCAAATTAAGTGTATAATATATCAAATTAAAGCTATGTCTGTCTAGTTTCTAAATATTCAAACCTCTTATCAATTGGATTTTTATTGAACAAG